TTAGTTAACTAATAACTAGGCTTACTATAGATAAAGTACTTCTTAGTTAATTTATTACTATACTAGTTTTTACTATAGTAGTTACTTTATAAAGAACCTTATATTTACTATAGATTAGTATAATTATTATAGCTACTATTATACTTATAGTTAACCTAAAATTACTTATCCTTTATAGTAGATTTATCTATAAGGTATTATATAGGTAGCTTATAGTAAAGTAAAGTATTTACTACTCTATTATATAGTTATATATAGAGGCTATAGAATATAGCTAGTAGGTTAAAGAAGCTATAGTATACTTAGGTATACTATAGTAATAAGTAATAAGGTATTTATAATAATCTTTATCCTTAGGTAGGCTATTATAAGTAGTTACCTTAACTAGCTTAGTAACCCTTTTAATAAGTAACTTAAGGATCTTAAGCTTATTTTTACTATAGTTTTTATAGGTAATTAAGTTAAATAATATATAGTAAAGCTTAGTAATATAGGCTAAGTATACCTTATTACCTTTAAATTATTCTTTAAGCTTTATTATTAGAGCATTAAAATTACTTACTTATTAGTAAAAGGTAAAAGTATAATACTTTTATAGTTTACCTTAGAGTATTACTTAAATTACTACTCTATAGTAGTTTTATATTATACTTACTTAGATATAAAGGTTATAGAATAATAGTAATTTTAAGTTAATAGTCTTATACTAGCTACTAGTGTACTTTATAGCCTAGTTATTAGAGTATATCTTTATAAAGTTACTTATTTACTTTAGTATTAGCCCTAATGTTACTATTAGTGTTACTATAGTTAATAAAAGCTCCTGTAGTAGTATAGTAGTTATTATATATAGGCTATTAATTTTAGCTATTATATAGGGTTTTAGTATTAATAAAGGTAGTAGTAAAGTAAAGGTTAAGTTATTATAAGAAGTCTAATAGGTAATTACTAGTAATAGGTGTATTTTAGCTAGTTTTTTACTATATAGGATTATATTATAACCTTAGATATTCTTAATAAAATTAAGGTCTTTAAGGTATAGTTTAAAGTTATATAATAATCTTTTAATAATAGTAATTATCTTATTAGTCTAGTAGGCACCTTCCTCTTGTTAAAGAGTATTAAATATATATTAAGTAATTAATAGGTGTTTACTATAGTTAACCTATACACTATAATTAATAAGGAAGTTATATAGGCTTATTAGGACCTTCTAGTTAATTACCTTAAAGTTATTTATAGACTATTTACTAAAATCCTTATAGGTATAGTAAAGTAATTTACTACTAATATAGTTATAGTACTTATAATAACTAATATAAAATATAGTAATAGTATTAAGCGTAAAAGCTTATTACTTACTTATAAGGTTAGTTAGTAACTTCTTAATATAGTCTTTTTCTTATTACTATAAAAGGATATACTATATAAGGTTAATAAGTATAGTAAATATATTATTAATTACTACTACTTACTACCTTACGTTAAGTAGTATATTATACTTACTATAAACTTCTTCTTATTACCTTATAAGTAAAGGTATAGTAACCTATAAGCCTTACTTACTTATAAGCTTATTATATTTACTTATCTTAGCTTAGGTCTTCTGCTTATAGGCGTAGTGTTATTTACTATTGCCCTCTATTAGCCTAATAACCTCTTAAACATAGGTGTTTCTTTTAGTAGACTAGAAGGTATATATATTTATTAGAGGGATTACTACTAGTAGTATAGATAGCTAGAGAAAAATACACTCTTATAGGTAAATAACTTAGGGAAAAATAATAGGCTATTATATTAGCTACTTATTAACACTATTAGTTAGTAGAAGGAGAAGAAATAATAGGCTATTATATTAGTAACTTATTAATACTATTAGTTAGTAAAAGAAGTATATATATAGGAAAAAGAAGTTAGTAAGCTAAAGAGCTTATAATAAATAGGATATAGTAAATAATTACTAGTTAGCTATAGGTATATAAAGTAAGGGGTTTTTTATAGTTAAGAGTGCTTCTCTAAAGGTAATAAAGCTTATATAATAGACGTAAATTAATAAGGTTTTTACTAGTTAAGGGGACTAGTTATAGATCTATTAATTAACCTATTATAATAGGTAATTAGTATAAACTATTATAGTAAGGGTATTTATAAAGGTATTTTCTAGTACTTGCCTACTCTAGGCGTATAAATAATTAACTAGTAATAATTACCTCTTCTTATAGTCCTTACTAATCTATAGTTTAGACAGTAAAGTTAACCTATATAGTTAATAGTAAAGTTAACTACTAATTAGTGTTAGTAATACTAAGGGATAGGTTAATATAGTTAATAATATATATTAGTAGTAATTAATAAATAATAGGGGGTAACTATAGTTCTCTATTATATGTAAAGAAAAGAAAGAAAACTATTATAGGTTAGTTAGTTAAATAACTAACTTATTAGCTATAAATCCTTAGAGAATCTTATAGCTAAATATCTAAGGATTTGCTAGCAATAAGTCATTAGGGTTAATCTAATAACTCTAATATTTATCTGCAATAGTCAACATTACAACAGTAACTTCTAGTCTTTTATTTAGTATATACTATAGCTATAAGATATTATCTATATATAGCTACTACTATTATACTATATAACCTTTTATAGGCTTATTCTTAAAAATACTACTTCTTCTTATAAATATCTTAAGTAGAATATTTATTAGCTTTATTTAACTAGTGCCTTTACTTTACTTATTAGCTTAGTAATACTACTATTAATTATCTATATTAGCTTATTTTAGATCTATAAATTATCTTATAAGTTAAATAATCTATTTTATATACCTATAATTAAGAAAAAGAAATATAAAATAAAAAGAGAGGTTAAAAATTAAAAAGAAATATATATATACTTAATAAATCTTAGTGTATTTTTACTACTTTAAGAAAGGCTTTTAAGGTCTATTTTATTTTTTATAAATTAGTCTATAAGAGTATATAGCTACTATATCTTTTACTAGTTCTACTATTAATTAAGTAGAAGTATTACTAAATATTAATAATATATTATATTTATATTTTTATTAACTATAAATTTATTATAACTATATAAGAGAGCCTATCTATAGTCTAGTATAAAAAACCTATACTAAAGAAGTAGATTTACTTTTAGGCACTATTAAGAAAGGGTAAAGTATCTAGGCTACCTAATAAAGGAAAAAAGAAATAGTAAAATATAAAAAAACTACCTACACTATAATAACATCTAATAATAATAATATATATATTAATTAATAGGTCTTATAATTCTTAGACCTAATCTATAAAGAAATTAAAATAATAGTATAAATTAACAAAGTAATTATAAAAAAAGTATATTCTTACTAAATAAATAAAAGTATAGTAATAACTTGTAGTATATTTCTATATAGAGTATTAAGGCTAATAATAACAACTATATATTAATATTATTATATCCCTTCTAATCCCCTCTTAGGTCTATGAATCCCTTTTTTAATAGGTAGGTCACAGGTGGCCTTTTTATTAATCTATCCCTTAAGTTAACTACCACATGATTCCTAGGACTATACTACCTAACCCTACTACACTAGCCTATACTAGACTAACTTATTTAGCTAAATCTACTATACTTTTAGCTACTACTATTACTAACCCTTACTTTAATAACTTTACTTTTTTATTTTTCTTTATACTTCTTTATATTAGTTATTTTACCTCTTTATATATTATAGCTACTACTATTAAAGCTACTATTAATTAAAGCCCTTAAATAATAATAACAAAGCTACTAGCTATAGCCTTACTATAAGTATAGTACTAGATTCCCTTTAAGATCTATACTTTTCTATTATATATATACTAATAACTATAGTTAATAATATTACTATTAACTTTATAATAAAACATTATATCTTAGAATACTTTTTCTTACTATTTACTAGACTATAAGCCCTTATTACTACTATACTTATTACCTTTATTAATTTTACTATTACTACTATTATTAATAACTATCTTTTTATTACCTTTTCTACTTATAAGTAAATAGTCTATATTACTAGTAGTACTAACTTTCCTTTTAGCTATAAAGTTTTATACTACTATTATTACTTTTTAGTTTTATACACCCTTGTAATACTAACAATAGGGATTACTTTAGTTACTAAGGATAGGACCTAAACACCTAGAGGGATTAATTCTAAGATTACCTACTACTAACCCTACAAGAGATTATAAACAACAGAAGGAGTATTAATTAAGGTTAACATAGACATAAACAGACTTTATATATAGGCTTATTTAAGACTAGGGTAAACACTTAATAAGGAGGTATATTACATAGTTATAAGACCTATTTATAGCTTAGCTAGGGCGTAATAAACTAGGTGTATATAAATACAGTACATGCTATATTCTTAGCCTGAGGTGATATGCATGTGCAGTCTCGATTTTGTGAACTTAATTATGTCCGATTGGCTCAACATATATACCGCACGACATTTAGGTGCCTGTTTCTTAGGTATCTTTCCAAAGATACTGGCCTAACTCTAGCCGCAAGCTCAATCTTGCTAGGAATCAACATTAAGATCTGTCAGCCATTCTACAGCTGCGTGCGAATTTAGTATTCTCTTCACACTATTCGAGATTTGGGCGCTCAAGACGATAGTGGAGCTGAGCGGACCATGGCTATCTCGGAAAGGACTTTGATGGTCGTGTATATATGACAGAAGTAAGGACTTGGGCGTCCCCTTATGAGTCTCTTAGAATCAGGTTATACGAAGGTTTCAGACAGCGCCCGCCAAAATCAAAACAACCCCAACAAATGTAAAAGTCTCCACCACAGCAAGAATTGCATTGATAGAAAATGCCGCTCTTCTAGATGTCGAAAGTGCAGATGGCGCACCATCTAGATGGCGTATCATGAGATGCCCAGTCTGCCTCCACAGTCCCTTCATGGTGACCTGATGATAGGTCTTTGTCCCTTTGACAAGCAACTAAAAGCTTGACAATTTCGGAGTGGCCACGTTGTCCAGCCCACCAGAGCGATCTCTTGCCGAAAGAGTCCTGACTATCAGTCTTGATTGATTCTCTCGACAACAACAACTTGACAATGCTTGTATGGCCTTTTCTAGAGACCGCTGAAAGAGGTAATATGCTGTAATAGTTCTCTGCCATAACATCAGCTCCCTTGTCGAGAAGCAGCTTGACCACGTCGATATGGCCATTCTCTAACGCCGAGTCTATTGACGTCCACCCATCGTTGCTGCCGATACTCGCATCCGCCCCGTTCTATGACAAAAGTTTATGATTTGATGTATAGGCTAAAGACTATTATTAAATAGCTATGGTAGAAAAAGGGGTAGTAGCACGCATGTAAGCCGCGTCACGGTTTTTATAACGCAAAGATTAAATTAACCACGTAGACTCTGTAGATTAAATATGGAAGAGGGCTAAATAATTTACTCTACTTTAACTGTAACTTTCCTGCTTGATGAACTAGCGCTTCTACCATCTTGCCCAACAGAAATATTAACCATATGCCCGCGGATGTTAACTCTTTTAACAGTTCCTGCTGGAACTTCCTCCCAACCAATTCTCACGCCTTTGTAATAAATAGTGACCTCTGTGGCCACGATGCCAATAGCTTGCATTGCAAGAAGGACAATTGTAATAAGGCTGGTACATATAATGGCGGTTGTTCTGTTTATATAGTTAGTAACATTTTTATTACAATAGATTAATGCAAGGGGGTTTACTACCTTTAGATAGCAATAGAATAATAAGATATGTTTAGGATATAATTAAGTAGTGTGTTTTAGATTAGATTATAGAAAGAAAATAGTTGTCTCTGTTCTAGAAAAATTAGCTATATTTATATATTTCTAGATAGCAGGAATTATAATTAATTATATAAGTTTATAGCAATATAAAATTATAATTACATATTATGCGTATAACTACCTTGCTCTACATAAAAAGTATCCCTACATCTAGACTACTCTTACTACCTATTATTACTATTTTTACTACTTATTTCCTTAGGCTTACTGCTTACCTATATTATATAACTAACTAGACAACGCATAACTACTTAAATTAGTAAAAGCTCTAGGGAATCTCAGAAACTAAAAAGGGTTTAATTTCTATTGTAATGTAATATTACTATATTTTATTATAGGAATTGATACGGACGCTCCGTCCTTACGGACACTCCGTCCTTGTGGACGCTCCGCTATTTGCCCTTCTGATTGGTCTAAAAAATTCTTGTTAGTGTAACTATATTCTGCTAGGCCCACAGGAGGTAGCCTATCGCAGCCCATTAAGGCAGCCCATCACAGCCCATTAAGGCAGCCCATCGCAGCCCATTAAGGCAGCCCATCGCAGCCCATTAAGGCAGCCTATCGCAGCCCATTAAGGCAGCCCATCGCAGCAGCCCATTGCAGCCCATCGCGGCAGCCCAAGGGGGTCCTTTTTGCGGCCGTGAAGAGTGCCCCTTGAAGAGCTAGGTATAGGTGTTAGTGCAATTGCCCTCACCGCCTTTGTAGGGATGTACTGTTTTTTTAGACCAATTAGAAGAGCAAATAGTAGAGCGTCTATAAGGACAGAGCATCTGTATTAATTCCAGGAGCATCCCTATTAATTCCCTTTATTATTAAGTAGAGACCTAAATTATTAGAAAGAATAGTACTACATGTAATAGGTATATTTAACCAGATAGTCAGGTATTACTCTACAACAGGGGCTTAGACAGATAGCTAGCAAGGGGGTGAAAATGGCTGACATAAGCGCAACGCATCTAAATTAATTAATTTCTATAGGCAAAGTTAATACTTAATATATAACCTATTAGCCTTAATTACTGCCTTATATTAATCTAGTATAGTTATAAGAAGGTTAAATAAGAAGTCCTCTAGAAGAGCCTCTTAGGCCTCTTTTACCTATATACAAAGGGTATTATATAATAGGTTCTTATTATTACCTACTAGCTCTTAGATATAGTCCTTTATTTAGTCTTAATATATCTTAATTAGGTTAAAGTTAGGTAAAAAAGGTAGCTAATAGATAACCTAGATACCTTAGTTATAGAGGTCTTATAGGGTCTCCTCTGCTAAGTGTACTAGAGTACTATCTTATATAAAGATAAGGTTATTACTAAATTATTACTAGTATAGATAGATTTATCTATAGATAATAAGAATAGTCTACTGTTAATAGGACTTAGCCTTAATACTGCCCTAATTCTTCTCCTAGAAGATGCCTAGCCCTTTTTAATCCCTAGAGAAATATCCCTAGAATATCTAACCCTACTTACATTAATACCTCTTAATAATATAAGTTAGATCTTACTCTTTACTAGACTAACAGGTTATATAGATCTTTATATAGTAACCACTAGTTACCTATATTTTATCTATCTATAGAACCTTTTTCTAGTCCTTAAGGCTCTAATAGAGGTACTCTTAGGCCTAAGTAAGATATTGTTGTTAGTTAACTTTAGAGATAAGGGGTTTTTGCTGTGTAGTCTATTGCCTAAAGCTAAGCCACTAAAGAGCTACTTAAATTACATAAGCACTAAATTTAGAGAAAAAAAGGTATATAGATAGGCATAAAAAGGAGGCCTAGTAGCCCTCCTTTAAAGAGGTAATGTACTTAATAAGCTGCTCTTCTTGTTAGGTTATTATAACCCTTAGCTGGCCTAACTAGTAGGCAACAGCTGCTACTAGGGCCTAGATTACTATATAGACTTAGTGCTTTAAAAATCTAGTAATATTAGCTATCTTTGGCTATAATAGCTTTACGTTAGTATAAAGGGTGTATATCTGTTGCTAATTAGCCTTTATAAGGTGCTTTGTGTTACTGCTAGCTAGCTAGACTATATTAGTAATATAGGTAGGTTAGTTAGTTAGTTAGGTTATTACAAGAGGAAAAAAAAAAGGAGAAAAAATTACTACTAGTAATAGGTGGATTAGTTAGATAGATATAGGACCTCTAATTGGCTAGTTAAGTGGGTATATGCTGCCCCATAGGTACTTGCCTAGGGGGTTAAACTTTAGCCTAACACCGTAGTAGAAGCCACAGATAATATTAGTTCTAGACTTACTCCCTGGTTACAGTTAACTGCCGTGCAGGCGATCAGGTATCTAAGAAAATAAAGTTTGAGTCCAAGATACCTAACCCTAAGGATATAGTTAGCGACAGCTAGACATATATATTACGAGTTTATAGGAACCTTAGGCTCTTGCTATTGAATTATGCCAATAGAGTTAATAACGTATATTAATAGGAGCTCTGCTGCCCTATATTACTTCTTAGGTAACCTACAGGAAATGTTTACTGCTCTTAATATTATAGATTATTAAATAACTTACATTATAACCCTTCCTGTCTTCTGTCGCAGCAAGGTCCTTGCCCTTATTATTGCCTAACGAATTAGCCACGACGTTACTTTTAGCAAGGCCGCCTATAACTAACTTTAAACTATAGCACTGTTAACGCTGTTGACTATGCGCCTGTGTCTGTCCTTCACTTCGCCAGTTAATCTAAGCAATCTGGCGATCACCACTGACAGATGTTTACTGATCTACTCCTCTAAGTTTATAGCCTCCTGCTATATAGCAAATAATAAAGCACTAGGCATTAAAATTAGCAAGGACAGCTTTAGTAATAAGGACAACTAATAGAACGCTTTAGCGTTAGTGTTAGTAGAAGTAGTAGCCTATGTTAACAACTAAAGGGTTACACGCTAACAACATAGAATAGGCAAAGCGTACACTGAACCCACGTTATTACTACAGCAGAAGTTATTACATAGGACATCTTAGCTGCCTATGGCTTCTAGATGCTACTAAGCAACCCCTTTATGTACACTATCTCTAGATTACATATAACGCGTAGGCTAGCAGCTACAGTAGAGCTAGAATCAGTATTAAGTCAGTAATTTACATCTTTAGCCTTAATCTAAGGGGACTTTTGTAATAGACTTCTGCTATACCTACTACAACACAGTAAGTTGCCTTAAGACTAAGATAATTATTAGTGTTAGCGTTAACTAAACACTACAGCTATTATAAGTCTTAGGCATTAGCTAGCCTCTTAACCTCTTAGGTGTAAACCTCTGATTTTCTTACTAAATTAAGTAATTAAACTAGCTAATAGGTGTTTAAAAATACAAGGAGTCACTTTCCAACCAAGCGATCATAACCCTCTTTTCTAGTTACGCATAATAGACTATTGGTATTTACCCCCTATATTCGTCACTTGCCACCCGATACGTACGGTTAACCGTATCACAACTAACCCTTGTGATCCCAACACTGATCAGTGGTTAAATATCACCATCTGGTTGAATATCACCACTGGAGTAGTCTTCTTCACTGAAATCACTACTCGGCGAAGATACCGCAGATCAGCAAGGTTTCAACAAAAGAGACGAGAAGAACCAAAGTCCACCGGATTTCACGCTACTTTCGCAACCCTCCTCGTGCTAATCGCCGACGACGACGTAGTCCGCTGAAAAACAGCCTACCGACTTCAGAATCGCCGGTCGTTCAGTGGCAGAATAACGGCACCCCTCGTGCTGCGGTGAAATTCTTAAGCCTAGAAACACGACCAACTCGTGGACCTCGTCGCTTTACGAGAGGTCATACTCGACTGCGGAAAACACACCAATCCGCACGCCAAAACACTATTGAAACGCGACCATGACTCGCGGCGAAGAAGAGCCCTCTATACGCGGCGAGACGATTGAATACCGCGACGAAGAAGAGGAATCCACAACTGAAAGCATTAGAAGACACGAGCTCAGGGAAGCTGTTCAAAGAACATACGTTAAGATACCCGCGGGATACGAGAAGTTCATTAACCCACGGATATGGACAATATATTCGCTCGAACAAGTGCCTGTGGATATCGAACGTATTGACGCGCTAAACACGGTTATTTGCGGTAGAATCGCAGAATATACTGCCGATAATAAATATGGCCAACAACTATGGTCCGACCTCGCTGAGGACTTTGACGAGTGGACTGGTGAAGACTTCGAAAATGCCGACAAGGGACTAATAAAGAAGTTCCGAGACTTCCTCGTCACTAATGGGGTCTACGTCAACAAGACCCAGAGGGGAACAGTAGCTTCGCGTGTGTATAACGCCATCAAGCAAGAGGAATACGACGTGTGGGACGAGAAAAGGATAGCAGATGTGATCAAGATGAATCAAGCCTTCCGCGAGCGCATGAACAACAAGGACTTCGCGGAGAATGTTACCGACTCATACGTGTGTACCTTCAAGATACCCATGAAAACCCCGCCGTCGAGCGAGGAAAGCGCAGTGGCAGCAGTAAACAACCCAGCAGAAGCGAGGTCTTCCTTGAACACGAGGCAATCTTCCTATAATAACCCGGATTTCGTTACTTCAACCGCACGAGACAGCCACCAATATACAAGGCAAAGAGAAACGACTATTCCGCCTGTTCAGTCGCTCGAGGTGCGAAGGACCGTTACGCCAGGGGAGTTACCTAACGTCAATGGTCTAACCCCGCGTCAGTTGACCGACCTTATCAAGCTTTATAGCGACGATACAGAGTCAAAGTACGGTGGAAACGCGTATGACACTATCGACTTAAAGTTGCCAGTCTTTTACGACCTTTGCGCGAGCGTCGGAATTACAAACAATTAATACGGGACCGCAATCAAAGTGATGCTTACCTTGGAACCACGGGAGTATTACTCTACTACCCTGCGTAAATACACTAACGATTTTGACGCTCTGATAGCTGGAATCAAGTCGAGATTTGAAGGCGAAGAAGTCCACTGGGCTTGGGCAACTGAGCTACGCCGACTTACTTTTGAGTCAATTAAGCGCTAGAACAGCGGCAAAAATAAACTGGAGATACTTAACCTCCTTATCGTGAAGATCGTCAAGCTGGTAAAAGCAGCAAAGCGCCACGGACTGCCGGAGGACGAGGAATACTGGGACGCACTTATTGACTGCTGCCAAGGCATTCCGGAGTGCGCTGTGGCCCTCCTTAACCTGCCCACGACTTTCAACGCACTCTGCGCGCAACTACGCAGCGGCGTAGGGATATGATAAGTATCCGTGAGAAGAAATCACAATTTGTCAGCGAAGACCACGATGACCCCGGAGACCAATACTGGGTTGACTGTAAATACAATGGTCAACGGAATCCACGGCCACAAGTGCGCTGGGACAACCAAGGGGCAACCTGAGATAACCCCCGAGAACGGAGTACCTTTACGACGAAGAAGTGCTTTGTCTGTGGAAAACCCGGATGCTGGTCTAATAAACACCTGGACCACGAGAGGCAGAAGTCTTTTTAGAGGTACAAAAGCCAGTATTTCACAGAGACTTCGCCAGGGTTTGAACAATTTCTCGCGGAATACGAAGGGGACCACGGCCTAGATGGGAAAGACGAGGATAATGACAATGCGGCCAAAGACCACTTTAAAGACAATATCTTCTTTACATCAACAGCATTTTACGGAAAGAATACGATCAACGGCCGAGATGTCTTTACGCAACTGTGTAACCAGGCTACTTATTATGCGCTAACAAAAGAAGACTTGTGCGAAATCAGCGGATCAAACGTGAAAGCTAACGAAGGCGACGACATATTTACCTTCGAAGACCGCTATTCTGCAACAACTTTCTAAGGGATAATGCCGGATACTGGAGCAGCCTGTGTATTAATAGCTGGCTAACGACAAGTCGCTGTACTCTGTAAGCACCTATGAGCTAAAATACTGCTAGATATGGCTTGCGCAGGAGAAGCGAGTATTTGATTTGGAAGCGGCGAACACTATGAGTCTCTTGGAGCTGTGAAGATACTTACCCCGTTAGGTAAGCTTATGTTCTACGTTATGACCTTAGATATACTGTTTCTTTTTTGCCTAAAAGATATGGATTACTATGGAATACGCTTTGATAACCTTAAGAATGTGCTTATCTAAGGTAAAAACATTGTGCTAGTAATATGTAAATAGGGTCACGCGTGGATGCTCCTAGAGAAACCTAAGCGTAGCGTAGTATAATACTACCTTACTGATGTTGAACTCTGTTAAATACACTGATGGTTTGGCTACCTATTAGTAAATTGCCTCTACAAGGTGTTGTAACGCGCTGGCTAGGGGATGGAGATCTTGAATATTGAGGAGATTACTAAGTTTTGCTGTTATTGCTAGCTGAATTTGAAGGCCCCTGGAAGATTTAAGTTTACCTTTAGAGACGACCACGAGTTTAACTATGAGATCTATGTTGACGTGGTGTATCTTAATAGTAATTAGCCTACGTTATATGTTGTAGATAACGTAACAGCGTTTAATGCTGCGTGATTCCTTTGCTTAGTTACTGCGGAACACACCTTTGAGGTACTACGGATGTGCTGGATAGACGTGTATCTCGGCCCACTAGACTGGATAATAACTAACGCTGGATTGAACTTCCACGCCGCGGAATTTAAATGCGCTGCTTGAGCGCTTTTTATTGAGGTAAAAGAGGTTCTGATTGAGGCCTATAATAGCGTTGGGAAGGTTGAATGCTACTACGCTGTATTACGCTAAGCATATGCGATTATTTGCGCAGAGACCGGTGTTGAACCCGAGGTCGCTCTGCAACTGGCAGTAAAAGCAATTAATAATACTGCTGGCCCTGACAGTCTTGTGCCTATGCTCCTTGTTTTCGGAGTATATCTGCGTATATTAGACAATTTACCTCCCTTACTGTTAATAACCTAGTAAGCTGAGGGTATAAAAAAGGCTATGGAAGAAGTACGCTAGATTTACGCAAAGAGGCAGGTTAATGACGCGCTTGTAACGCGTAATGGCCTAGATACAATGATGACTGCAGCCTTACTATTGTAATCCCTTGTTTAAGTTTGGCGTGAGAAAAGCGGCTAGCAAGGCCCTTTCTGTATTATTGTGAACGATGGCACTACTTGCACGGTAGATTTACTATAAGGCCTGTGCAACTTCTGCGTCACTGTAGTGAAGCCATTCTACTAGAGCGACGAAGTTGAAGAAAGTGTACTGGCTGTGTTAACTGCTGAGGAACCTGTTGAGCCTGTTGATGAACCCGCCGCGCCTGCTGAAGAAGCTTGTGAGAGTATTACTGTCGCGCCGGAGAATCCCCCGCGACGACTGCGTGGCCAACCACGGAAAAACCTGATCACCACGTTCTTTGCCAAGGTTTTTCTTAATCTAACCGGTGATAGTTTCTTGACTGTAAAAGAAGAAACTAACTATAAGCTTGCTATAGAATTATGTAAGAAGGGCGTAATTATAACCCCTGGAAAGCTATTTGAATGATCTAACAGCGATGAGATTGATGGTCTCGCTGAGAGAGGCGTATTTTATATTGTGAATTATAATGAGAAAGATTACACTAGAATATAGATCTTTAAATTAAGGCTTATATATAAAGTTAAAGGAAAAAATAAGACACCTTATAAGATATTACGCCTAGTTATCTAAGGTTATATAGATAATAGGAAAAGCATAATACTTACGTAATCCCCTATAATATAATAGATAGCCTAGTGTATTATCCTTGTAATTACACTGTCTTTACTGTGTAATAGATATATCCTTTAGTTATAAGATATTACGTAAGTGTATATATAATCTATAACTAACCTTAACTATGTAATTCTTGCCTATCTACCTGTTAAAATACACTACCTTTACCCTATAGATGCTATTATAAAGGTAATAAAGCTATTATATAGAGTACTAGAGGCTAGAACCTATTAGTAGGTAATATATAACAACTACTATAGAAAGAATCTCTAGATAAATACATTAACTTTTGACCTCTGCTTACTGATATCTAGAAAAAATAATAAGAACTTTGTGCTTATTAGTATATAGATTAATAATACTATTAGTCTTATAGATAAAGCTTTTTCTGACTACAAAGAAACTGCTTTAAAAGACGTAACCTTTATAGTAAAGCCTAAGTAGTTCTTGACTATTAAGTAACCGCTGACCTTTAACGGTGGTGTGTTATTTCTTAATAATAACAGTAAAATAACCTTCTATTAAAAGGGTTAAGGAAAGCAACTTAAGCCTGTTAATACTGCTTTGCTGTAAGTGCACTAGTAATACGTGGAGTAATGCGCATAAGGAGCGTATATTGCCTTAATTTACTAGCCTAAAGCGTGCTTTAACTATTCTGTTGCTGTATAACACTAGTTGCCTATAGACAAAGATATTAAAGCCCTTAACTGCTAAATTATATAGTAGATAAAGAATCTTAAGTGTGGCCTTTAATTTTTGCTACTTAACCTTAAAAATATAAAACTCTTTGTCTTTATAGATAGATTATTTACTAATAACGCTAACCTTACTTTATAACTTAGCTTTATTATTATCCTTGTAAATAAAGAAAGTAATAACTATATAACTATAAGGTAGACCCCTAATAACACTGGTGTATTTACTATAACTAGAAATATTATCTATTTTAGCTTTATAAAGTGTAAAAAGGTTACTTAAAGTATACTTACCAGTGAGATATATACTATAGTCGCTGGCGCAGATATTATGTACATAATTAGAACTATACTTGCACTTATTACTGAGCGACTTGCGATTTTACTGATCCTTATGGTTATTTACACTGATTTGTACTTGCTTTACAAGTGTCTTATAAAACTTGGTACCACCAAGGAGAAGCGACTTATGATAGATATTATGGCCCTTTGCTAGTTGTACGAGCGCCGCGAAATACACGAAATATGATGGATTTACGGCAGCGATAACCCTGCTGATAGCTTCACGAAGTTGTCACTAAATAGCGCGCTAGAAGCGCTTGTTAGTGACGGGAAGGTAAAGATATAGATAAATAGATAGGTATTACGTACGTGAAAGGATACGTTACGCCTAGATAGATAGGCTTAGGTACGGCTTGTGTTTACTGTTTTTCGTCACTTTTTTATATTTGTTTTGTTGATCTTATTATTAGTGTATTTATGCTGTTTGATGGCGCTTTCTACTGCAAGAGAAAGTTGCTAGTGTTGTGATATTAATTGCCCAGAGATATTGGCTGTTACGCCGATATCTTGGCGGTAGAAGCACGGATGTTCTGCCGGTGAATTCCTCTGGAATTCACGGGTATTTAATTACTTTTTAACTAAGTGATTATAACCCTCTTTTCTAGTTATATATAATAGACTATTAGTATTTACTTTCTATATTTGTTACTTGTTACCTAATAAGTACAGTTAACTGTATTATAACTAACCCTTGTGATCCTAATAACTTCCCTAATAATAATAATAATATATAGTTATACTACTATTTATTATACTTAGGTATAAGTAAATAGATATATTTAAAGATATTCCTTTTAAGATCTCCTTTTTTAGAATTTCATTAAAAAATAAAGAAGAATTCCTTATTCTACTTATCTAGAGATTCTCTATACTATTAGCTAGAAAATAGCTAGAGACTCTCTAGCTAATTATTAGTCTATATACTAGAGAAACCTTAAGGAATTGCCTAACTAATACCTATTAATTCCTTAGGTAATTCTCCCTAAAATAACCAGTATAAGAGAAATCATTATTCTAGTAAATACTAGTATTTTATTAATTTATTATATAACAATCTATTATAAAATAGAATATTAAGGCTAGCTAGAAATAGGCTAAGTTATAGCTAGTCTCTATATATTACCCTCTATCTAACCCCTTATTATCTAAGGTATTATCTAAAGTATTATCTAGCTAATAAAAAGAGAAAAAAGGTAACTAGTAGTAAGATAAAGTTATATCTATTACCCTATAGTTAACTCCTTATAAGTCTACTAATCTATAATATTAGTTATATTAATTAACCTAGCTAGCTAAGAATAAGCTAGATACCTATACTCCTTATTACCTATCTAAAAAGATATAAAAAAGCTATAATAAGTAGGTATCTAGAGTAGCCCCTCTAGAGCAGTAAGTCTATTATCTATAAGCCTATCTAGATACCCAGTAGTTATATAAGAGGAAAGAGGTCCTATTATTACCTAATAGCACTTTTACTACTATATAGTATATCTAGTAAGCAGAAAATCCGGAATCCAGCTAAATAGATAATCTAGATAAATCCAGTATATCTAAATTATCTAGTAAGGCTGAAAGTTGTATATAGGTAGGCAGCAGACTAAGTGAAATAAGTAGTAATAGTAGTAGTAATAGTAGTAGTAATAGTAGCCTAGATATGGGGGTGGCCCAGAAGTAGGGTGGGTGGGTTAATAGAAATACCGAATGGCCATTCCAACAGCCCGGGGATCATCGTCAGGTAAGCTAAGAATGTCCTTGATGGCAGCCTGCAAGCAGTTAGCTAGATGCTTAACTTCGAGAACCAAGAGACTATAATCAACTTGAGACGCTGAGGCTCGACACTTTGCAGCAAAGTAATCGGACCTGGGGCACACAATGGCTTTATGAACTCGGTACTCAGCATCGCGACTTGCAATTATGAGATCCGAGTATTCTGCATCTTCATATAGGCTACGTTCAATAGTCAGCGTGATCATACATGTTAAAACACATACTAGATTACTGACATTTTCAAAGATGCTCTGAGCTCTTTCACAGGGTCAAGGGCAGGGGTCCGTGAACCGGTCTTGGTGCTTGACATTTTGAATGATTGTTGAATATTGACTACGGAATTGGATATTGTGCCGTCTGGCCAAGTAAAACAGACGGTGCTGAGTCCAGTATTTATGCTTCGATGCGACGCTTGAGCCTCCGTGATTTTGTCGCTGCGACAGCTCGACGCAGCCTGATCGAGCCCACCATGTTTCGACAAAGGTGGTACGGATCCGGAGATAGACCAATCGTGGAAAGTCAGGCGAGACTGTGTCGCGATGAGGCGGGCCTAACGTCTCCTTCAACCAATATGCTCGCCTTGAAAAGCACTTTGCAGGCCAGGAAAAGCGCCCGATGCACGTACTTGATTACTGCAATACGATACAGCTGTATCTCGCAGCCTCATTGTAGACACCTCTATTCTTTCTAGCTGCAATGAGGCAACCATTGCCGTTGGAGCCCAAGATGCTGGGCTGCACGACATGACCGGTAACAGCGTTGCATGAATACCTGAGAAGTGGGATAGCCAGTCAATAAGCCCTAAGTTGTGCCTCGACATAGGGTAGCAGCCGAAAACCAATGAACACAAAGAGTCAGCACACCCTTCTCCCTGAGAATGCGGGGAGAACCGTCATCAGTCCATAAACCGAGCATAATGATAACCACCAGCCGTCGTGTTTGCTAGGGACATTCATTGACTAAGATACTAAGGCCCGCTTAGTGGTAGAAGGAGGATTGTGACATCACAGTGACATACGTGTCCTAATATAGGCTCATCTAGACCCCCGAGGATTCTTCACATTTGGGCAGCCTCTCTAGTTATATAGCTACCTCAAGCGGTTACATAAACTTGGAGAAGAAACAAGAAATACCGAGACAGTGTACCATAGACACTCGCGAGATTGATAAAACGCTAATTGCCAAGGGGTATGGCAGCCGCTTTGACGGCCGCTGGAAGGGGTATAGTCTGCTAGTAGAAACAGGGATCTAGATGTAGTAAAAGCAGGGGTTAGTTATGTACATCAGCAGCAAGTTAGGTAGCAAAGGCCAGTAAATAGACTTATAGTTAGCATTAGATTTTCTTTTACCTCTCTACCTAGCTCTAGATTTCCTATGGCCTTATTAAACTATTTCTAATAGGTTACTAGACGTCTTTGCTTATAGATATATACTCTTTACTATTATTATTTATATTAACGTTAAGTATCTCTTTTTAAGTTATTTTCTCCTTAATATAGGCGTTATAGTTAAAGTTATTTTAACTACTTTATAATATCTTCTTATTTAGTATATCCTTAATCTAAATCTTGTTATTATTACTTTTATCTAGGTTACTACTAATCTTACACTAAAGAAAGGATTACTAGACTATTTTACCCCTTTTAGCTAGGTAATAGGCAGCTATTATAATAGTATAGGTAACTATAATATATTTTATTAATATAGACTACTTAATAAGTTAAATAGGTTAAATAAGTTAAATAAGTTAAATAGGTTAAATAGGTTAAATAGGCTAGCTAGGCTAGTAGGTAGTAGCTTACTCTATTTACTATATATACTTGTCTATTACTTTAGATAACTACTGCTTAAAGGGCTTATTAATAGTAGTATCTAAAGGTTAAAAAAGGAAAGTTATACCTAGTAGTATAAGGCTAGGCGTAATATAATAAAAGTAAAGTTATAATAGTATAAAAGGGGTTTTATAAAAGGTTATAATATTTATAACTAATAGGTATTTTTACTTTATTATAAAAAGAAAAAATTTATCTATTAGCTATTACCTAAGAAGATACTTATTATTATAAGCTATATTATTATATTTAACTATTACTTCTTTACTATATAAGTTACCTTTATATACCTCTATTTAGCTACTAAGGCTAATAGGCTTATTATAAAAAATAAGCTTTAGTAGTAGCTATTAGACCTTATTAGTAAAGATATAGAGGATAAGAGTAGCTTACTGCTTACTTTAGCTACTATAATTAGTCTTACTAGCTATAGTATAGGCCCCTTAGGCTACCTAAGTTAAGTTATTAAGGTACTTAAAAGGGATAAGGGTCTTATTAAAGTTAATAATATAGTTAGGTAGAAATTAGAGGCTACTAATAAGTAGTTACTACTAAGTAAGTAAAGGCTAGCTAATTTATTAGTTAAAGTAAAAGAAGTTAGTAATAATAGTAAAGTATTTAGTAAGTAGCTTTAAGGCTTACTTTATAAGCTAGTAGTATAAAATATCTTATTAAATAAGGAAGTAGCTAAATTAGCCTATAGAGAATTAAAAGAGATAAGTATAGGTAGATAGGTTACTAGCTATAAAGATATTAAGGTATTTAGTAGTAAAAAGAGCTTAGGCCTCTTACTTAAACTATCTAGTAGTAATAACTTTATTATAGGCTTATTATTACTAAAAGTAGCTATATAGTTTAGCTTTTATCTTTAGCTACTTTAGTTAGTAAATATAGAGGCTTATACTAGTAATTATATCTTATTATTAATACTACTTAGATATTATTAGGAAAAGGATTTTAAAGTAGGCAGTAGCCTCTTAAAAGGTTAGGTAGCAAAGGCTATTAGCTAGGTCTAGGGGGGTATTATTAGCCTATTACTGTTACTATTACTATAATAGATTAATTAAGTAGTAGTAGTACTTAAGGTAGGTTAATACCTCTGTTTTCTTTTACTAAGAATAAGACCTTTTAACTTATTAGATTACTTTTTTTAATATATATTATTAGCTAATAATAGGCATAGGCTTTTTACCTATTTTCTTATGTAACAGTGGTGTATTTGGGTTGACTTTGCCTAGCGGTAGGCAGTTGGGCATTGTGAAAATCGTAGTAGGTTAATGGGTTGGTTGGATGGGTTGGATGGGTTAGATGGGCTAGATAGGCTAGCTGGCAAGAAGGTAGGTGGGTTAACTATTTGACCGCTTTCTATTTAGAGCTTAGCGCAGTGGATATACACTAGCTAGATTTAGCTAGCTTATTGCCTGTAGTAGTTAGCCTTGTAATTAGCGCTTTATTAATCTCGCGAGTGTCTACGGTAGTATTAAGTTCTATAGTTCCCTAGAACTTATTTTTATTTAGTGGAGTATGGAGCTTCTAATTACAGATTAGCCTATAAAAAGACCTTGTGGAGAATACGAAGTCGCTTAATATACTATCTCCTAGGTAATAGTATTAGCTAATAGGCTCCTCTATATAAACATTGAAGTTAGTTTTATGAGTATAGCTTTTTTTAGTACCCACGGGCCACCTGTCCCTATTTCCCCTGTCTTACTACTTTCTATTATATGTACTGCCCCTGTGGTGTACCTAGTCTTACCGCCCTGCTTGCTGTTTATAATAATCCTACTAGATTAAATAAAAACGAAAATCTCTAGTCTATTATATATATTCTATAGTCATTCAACTTAATTTCCTACTCTATAGAAATAACTTAATTCTTATCTCCTAAAAAATGAAGTTCTTTTCATTTCTTATACTTTCTTCTTTATCCATTACTAGTGTTACAGCTGGTGGTCACTTCTATTGCCGGTATGTAACTTCTTACTTATATTTACTTCAGCTAACAATAGTGCAGTTGCTTGAATGGTCTCTCTTACGCTGCGAGCGCTACACGAGAGACTTGTGCCGAGATTGAAGGTGCCTATATGGTTAGCCGTAGTGGTATTAACGAATGTAAACTTTCGAGGTTGTTACCGCGCCAAACTTTATTCAAAAGAGTGAGTCACATGAAAAAACAGTTCAAGTAATTTACTAAGTGTTTTAAAGCTTTGTGAAGGCCATGATTACGCTACTCATGGAGAGTGTCAGTGGCGGAAATAGATAGCAGAGTAATATAGACAGGGATAGAGTAATTGTATACTGGAACACAGACAGTAATTGCGATTCTTTTCATATTTGACGCCATAGCGGTAAGGTCGCAGCAGTTGCCTGACTAAAACCCGCCGGTGGTTTCTTATCGCCTCTAGAATAAGCATACTCCAGCCACATGTCATGCTTGTGGGTTTCTGCATAACATGTGCTGCGGATGAGCAATACTATTTAGACTCTGATAAGTAGCAACGGTGACCTGGCTAGTAGTAGGGAATGGAGGTGCTCAAGCTAGCCTTTACGTTCATTAGGAAATATGTGACGAAGAGATTTACCTGTGACACAATAAGCTCGGGAAACAGCAATGCCCAATAAGTCACACTCCGATACAGTCACGAGTGACAGAAGATCAGACGCCAACCCAGGGACGACAGCGATAGTGACGTTCAGAGCGTTGGTTCGTAAGGGAAGATTCTTATAAATTGCTAGTCAATTGCGGTGAAGCAAGCAGGGTGCCTTTCAATACTGCTATAATAAAGAAAAGGAATGAGGAATTGGGAAAGATATCAGGGGAACATCGTCTCAGCGGTATGTCATATTGTCTTTCAGATAATTGAAATGGATACAATTGTCCCATTTCTCAAAAAAGAAAAAATAAAAAAATAAAATAAAAGCCGGATTCCGTGATTTCGGTGCGTTTGAAATGCATTGCGCTGGCTTTGTTAAGTTAGCGAGGCTAAATCACAAGTTGATTGCTGAAGAGCTATGGCAGTCTGTCCTTGAGCGTATCCAAGTGCATGCTATATGCAAGTCGGTCGTGATATATCCCTTGTGATGATTCCCTTGATCTTGTTGGTCCTAATCACTTTGCACACTCCAGTGATCGATCAGTGGATCCTGGTGATCGCTCGGTGGGTCCTGCAGAGTGATTAGCTTATGGAATCGTCACGTGGCCTGTACCATAGTTCGTCCGTGTCCGGGGAGGTCATCCGTCCCATTGTCCTTTTGCCTATACCAAGGCTGTGCCGCCTGCGTTTTCCCGCTGGCCGGTGGGGCTACCTTGCCTGTAACTTGTTGGGTCGTAACATGTAGCTCCCTAGGTCTCTTCTTTCTATCTCTAGTTCTTCAGGTCTCTGGTTCTCTACTACTCTATTCCTCTTGTTCCCTAGTCCTCTCCCTATTTACTTCTCTAGTTCTCTCCTTCTTTCTCTAGTGCTCTACTTCCCTGTTTCTCTACGTCCCTAATCCACTGAATACAACAAGCTATAGTATAGCTGGTTAAAATACTCTACTAAAAAGATGTAGAGACACTGAAGACAGAGGGTATAGCTGGTTATCTAGACAGATATTAGTAAGCTATACTCTTGTTTTTAGTAAAAGCCTATAAAAGTAGGATAAATAGAAAGTGTAGATAAGACTAACTATATACCTATACTATACTAATTAAGAAGAACATCTATGCTTATGCTTTTAGAGTTTTTATCTAGGGAAATATTCTAATGTAGTTAAGAAGAGAGTATATATAGGCTACCTAAAGGTAATTATATAATCTAACTAATATAACTATAGACTAGCTTATATAATATAGTATTCTATATTATAGTATAGTAATATCTATTTATTTACTTTTATAATTTAGGGGGTAGTTTAGGGATATAAAAACTAATAATAGTATAAGAATAATAATAAAATAGAACTATTTATTTATAATCTAATATTCTCTATTATTATTTATAAGATATACTAGTTTATAGTTATTATTAATAAGGTAAAGACTTATCTTTATATAAGATACTAATTTCTCCTAGCTACTAGGTATAGAGAGGTTATATAGGCTATCTAGGTATACTTAGCTATTATTTATAACTAAGAGGGTATTATAGTGCTTTTACTACTAGAACTAATAACTAAGCTTATTAAGTATTTTACTTTACTAAAGTATAATAGGCTTAAGTATATAATATATAGCTATATTTACTACTAGCTATAGGTTATATAGTAGTACTACTATAATAAGTATAAGTAAGTAAATAACTAAAAGAAGAGAAGTAATATAAGAAGAAAGGCTTTTAAGCTAAGGAATCTACTATAGAGAAAAAGGGTCTTATACTAGCACTTTTTCTTATTATAGGCTAGCTACTACTAGTTTTAGGTTAGCTAGACAGAGGAGGTAGACAAGGGTACCTAGCCTAGGCTAATAAAGACATTAGTATATAATATTATTATATAGATCTACTAAGAAGAGGCTAAATAAGTTAGTTCTTAAACAGAGGATATTATTTATAGTATAGATAATAAATAGGATATTAGAATAAGGCAGGATTTTAGGTTTTTCCTTAGGTAGTTTTTATACTTGTTTTTCTAGCTAGTAGAGCCTTAATTATCCTAATTAGGACATTAAATACTAATTAAGATAAATAAGATAAATAGGATATAGAATTTAATACTTATAAGTTAACCTTTACCTTTAATTATAACTTTATTACTATAGTAATAGAACTAATTCTAGACATTATTTTAATCTTATATGCTTAATTAGGCCTTTATAGCCTAGTTAAGCTCTTTACCTTCTTATATAATAATATAACTAAATATTAAGACCTTTTATATATAGTTCTATACTACTTAGTAATAATAGTATTACTAACTAAGTTTAGCTACTAATTAATAATAAATATTTAATTAATATAGCTTAGCCCTAATTAGACTAAGGTTTATTAATTAATACTACTATCTTCTTAGATAAAGGTTAGTAAGTCAACTTTATGTTTATAGGTGTTTAGAGTACACTAGTAACAAGGCCTTTAGGTATAGTTATTTAGATTAGTTATATATATACTAGCTATCTTACTACCTTATATATTAACTTTTTTACTTAGTCTTAATAGTGCCTTGTAGTAGAATTAAACTACTAATCTTCTTATTAATAGTAAAATAGTAACCTCTCTTTTATAATAAAATAATAACTAAATAATAAAAACTAATATAAAAATAATAAGAACTAACTAAACTAAGAAAAAAAGAATAAAACTAACCTAATTAAATATATAGATATATATTTAACCTTAAAAAAGACCTAACTAAATAAAAGATAAAGAAAGTAAGAATTAGTAATATTTACTAGTAGTATAAAAGATAAGACTAAGAATCTTATACACTAGTCTTCTTTTCTCCTTAATTAAGGAAAGCTACTTACTATTATAAGAGATAGTAAAGAATAAAGTTAATAAGAACTAGACTTAACTATAAAAGTACTAAGTATAGTAACTATATTACTAAGAAACTACCTTTTTAGACTAAGTTATAATACTTTAATAACTTTTATACTAAATAAATCTCTCTTTATTATATAATTTTATAGGACTATTAGCCTAATTAGGCTAAAACTAATCTTTACCTATAAAGAATAGTGTTTTATAATTAATAGGACTATAATAAAGAAGTATATATAGGCCTTTAGCCTTAATCTTAGCCTTACTTATACTATAATTTACTAGAAGATATAGAAGTAAGTAAAGCTTTATACTTAAACGGTATTATATAATACTTTTATTACCTTAATTAAAGCTATATCTTTTTAAAAATAATAATATTAGCTTTTAGTAATACCTAATACTTACTTTTCTTATAAAGACTTTTTCTTAGTTATATATTATTATTTTTTAGTTACTAAGATACTTTATACTTCTTTATTAGTCTTTATTTTTAACTTTAACTTAAATATATCTAATTAGACTATTCTTAGCCTTAGTAAGTCCTTTTAAGAATACTATAAGACCTAGGTATTTAACTTTAATTTAGACCTAGGATAAGTAAAAGACTTTAGTACTATAGCCTTTTTAAGAATATAAAAAAAAAAGAAAAAAAAGGTAGCCTAGTTTAACTACTTTAATTAGGCTAATAAGACTTCTTTAATAACTATTAGTTAAATACTTCTTAAAGAATAGTATATTTTTACTACTTATAACTATTATACTTAGTAAAATATAATAACTAAGCTAGTTACTTTTACTACTACTAACTAAGAACACCTTTAATATAGTGCTAGAAGTCTATATAGTTCTTAGCCTTATATATTTATTAAAATATTACCTTTTAGTTCCCTAGAAGCATCTACCTTTAATAGCTATAATATTACTTACTTCTTAAATAAGTATAAGGCTTTAATAAGATTAGCTAGTTACCTAGATTAAGAAAAGGTAACTACTTTACTATAATACTTACCTAAAGAACACTAAGTAACTATTAAAAGTAAAGCTAGTACCTATACCTAGGCTTAGTTAAATAAATACCTTTTAAAACCCTATAGCTTACTTAATAAAGAATTTATTTTTTAACCTAACTACTATATTAAGGATCTACTATAAGGCCCTTTAATTAAGAGTAATAACTTAACTATAATAGTAAAGCTATTCTAGAAAGTAAAAAGTATTTAAAAAAAGGCCTATACTTAAGTAAAGCTAGTTATATTTACTTAAAAGCTAATTAAACTATTTATAAAATAATATACCTAGGAGATAACTTAAATAGTAGCTTTATAAATATATATAACCTTTACTAATCTCTTTAAAAAAGAAAACTTTAGCTTCTTTAAAAAGTATATATTAGCCTAGATTAAATAAAAGATAAAATACTAATACTACTATAGTAATTCTAATACTATAACTATTAGTACACTTATTATAGCCTAGGCTAGTGTTCTTAAGCAGAGAGTTTAAAAAAAATACAAAATACAATATAATACAAAAATACAATACAAATACAATACAATACAATACAAATACAATACATGTATTTGTATTGTATTGTATAGGAAAGACAATACATGTATTTGTATTTGTATTATATTGTATCTGTATTGTATTTTGTATAATATACAACTATACAATATAAAAAATAAAAATAATTAAAAATTAGTAAATTAATTATATATAGTACTATTAACCTTCTTTTATAGTATAGTATTATTTATATATTTTATTTAAAATATAGTATACTTAAAAACTAAGATATAGTAAAGTTTATTAAGTATTATTTATAAGTATTTACTACTAGTACTATATAAGTAATATAGATAAAAGAACTATATATTACTTAAAGTATAATATATTAATATACTATAACTATACTAAAGTTACTATTAATAACTAACTATATAATAACTAACTATATAATAACTAACTATATAATAACTAACTATATAATAACTAACTATATAATAACTAACTATATTATAACTAACTATATAATAACTAACTATATAATAAATAGCTTTTAATACCTAACTATATAATAAATAGCTTTTAATACCTAGCTATATAATAACTAACTATATAATAAATAGCTTTTAATACCTAACTATATAATAACTAACTATATAATAACTAGCTATATAATAAATAGCTTTTAATAGCTAACTATATAAAAAATAACTTTTAATAACTAACTATATAATAACTAACTATATAATAACTAACTATATAATAACTAACTATATAATAACTAACTATATAATAACTAACTATATAAAATTAATAAATAGCTTTTAATACCTAGCTATATAATAACTAACTATATAATAACTAACTATATAATAACTAACTATATAATAAATAGCTCTTAGTAACTAGAATCCTCTTCTATCTCTTCTACTTCTTCAAAATCTTCTATTTCTTTATCTTTTACTTCTTCTTCTATAATACTCCCTTCTTCTTCAGATAAGTATTCAAAGCCTATATCAAATAAACTACTATATATCTTAGGTATATAAAAAGAGCTATCTAAGCCCTCTAAATTACTAGATTATTGCCAGCCTTTTAAAAGCATTAATTTTTTTCTAGTATTATTTGTTAAATTAGTTCTTCTTTTAGTAATAATATTACTAGACTGGTTAAAACTACTTTCTACTGCAGCAGAAGTAGGAGGTATAGCTAAGTATTTTCTTGCTAATATAGATAAAATAGGAAATTTCTCTATATTATTCTTCTACTACTCTAAAGAATTTGCCTAAATAATAGTTAGTATATACTATATAATATTATATTAAATTATTTTAAAAATATATAGTTATAGTCTATAAATAAATCTTTTATAGTTTTTAAAACTAGTTAAATATATTAAAAGTCTTACTTACTTTGTTTCCTATAGGGATAAAGAATAATAATTTTCTAATTCATTTTCTCTTATTTTAGCTGCTTATTGTTTACTTTATATAGGTAAAAATCCTTAAATTCCTTAGGCTTAGGCTTAGGAATAGGTATTTTTAATTTATTTTTACCTATAGGTCCTTCTCTAGGCTTAGATAAATCTATAGTAAATCTATCTCTTTTTTACTAGTACTACTAGTAGGAAGATTAGAAGAAGAATTAGAGTTATAGTTATTATCCTTAATTTTAATAGTTTTATTTAAACTAGGAATATATAACTCTTCTTTATTATTTTTTCTAGATCTTTAATAATCTTTTGTTTTAGCCTAAAATATAGAAATAATAAATTAGTATATTATAACTATAAGTATATTAAAGGTAAATATAATAACTAGAAGTATATTAATATAGTTATTATAGTTAAGTTACTTACTTATTATATTCTTCTTTAAGATCTCTTTTACTTTTACCTCTAGCAAGAAGGTAAATAAGCCTTTAAATAAGTATTATTAAAAAACTGTTGTATATTCTACTTAGGTTCTAAAATAGAACCTAAAATATAAGGCTTAAATTTAGGATAATTAGCATGTGTAATAGGTAAAGAAAAATAAGTATTAAGCTTATTTTTTCCTTTTTCTATAGCATCTATAAAGTGCTTAGCATAAGGGTCTTGTGGTTTATTACTCTATAAAATATATTAGTAAGTTTAGTAAAATTAAATTAATATTTAATAATTATCTTTAATAATAAACTTAAAGATATTTATAGTAGTTTATTATATTAATATAAAAGATTAATAACTTACTAAGTCTCCTACTATAGGCTTTTGCTGTTCTTTATAGTAATTTAACTCCCTTTCTAAAGTTAAATTAATATTAGTAACCTAAAATAATAGCTTATCTATAGTAGTAAAGGTTTAATATTACATTTGTATAGTAGGGGCATAAAAAGCTTCTAATAAATCCTTAATATGCTGTAGTTGTAACTAGTTTCTTGGAATTATAGCTTTAAATATAGGGTTTTTAGTACTAGACCCTAGGGTAATTAAGGCTGGCTTTAATTCTAAAGCAGTACTAATCATTATATATACAGAATTCCATCTAGTATCATTACCTATTAAATTATTAGTTTATATTAAATATAATAATATTAATATAATTTATAACTTATTTTATAAACTTACAAAGAGGTATTTTAGTTCTATTATAGTTATAAGGTATAGTAGGATCTTTAAGCTCTTTATTATACTTAATAGCTTGTAAAAACTCTTTATATAAGCTAGTATTATTTTTAAGTAATATAGCTATTCTTTTAATAGCGCCTATAATACCTAATATTATAGAGATAATAATTAGTATTTATTAAATTATTATTATTATTAATAAGTTATTATTAAAAAAGTAATAGACTTACTAGTATTTGCCTTTAAGACTTTTTCTTTTTCTGTAGTATTTAATTCTTTAATTTCTCTATTATAATCGTTAATAATAGCAATATTCTTAAACTCTTTAATAATAGTATCTTCAGTAGAAGTATTAATAAAGGTATTAACAATATCTTTAGCAACAATATTAAATACATATGCAGCACACCTAATATCAAATATATTATTATTATAAGATAACTTATAATTATTAATAATATTAGATAAAAAGTATTATTATTATAGCATTATCTCTAGTAAAGCTATAATAAGTTAGTTACTAGTTTATTATTTATATATAATTTAATAATTTAATACTTACCTTATAACTCTACTAAAAGGAATATTATAACCTTCTATAATATTAGACTTAAATACTTTACTAAGATATACACAGTATGTGCACTATCTAGAGCCTCAAAGCCTATCAATATTATTAGTATATATACTCTTAATATAATATATTAGTAATTAAATAATAAAAAGTTAAATACCTAGGATTTTATAGTCTAATATAAAGTCACTATTAATAAAGGTACCTATAACGCCTAGGTAGCTCTTAGAGTCTATAGAAGTCTATATATCTAGTTGTAAAGATATATAACATAGTTATTAAAGTGATTACTTAAGTAAAATAATATAGTATCTTTAGTAGTATTAAATAAAGTATTAATACTACTTATTACTTTACTATAGTATAACTTAGGACTATTACTATAATATAATAAATATAGTTAGTTAAATACTATTATAAGCTATAGAATATTATTTTTAAAATTAACTTACGGATTAAAATATTCTAATAAATTATTAAAGTCATTAGAAGTAATAATATAAAAAGGTAAGTTATTATTAATTAAAAACTTAATACAGTTAATAACTGCTGTCTCTGGTTCAAAAATAGTATTTAAAAGCCAAGGTCTTTTAAAGTTACTATTTATAGAAGTATTACTTATAAAGTTATTAATATTTGCTTGACTTATTCCGTAATTTCTACTATTAATCCAGTTTTTAACTATAGAGAGTTAAAGAGTTAGTTAATATCTTTAAAAGAATAATATCTAATAAATAAAATAATATATATATATATATATAACTTACTAGATATTTTAGAAGGATCTCCTTCTTCTTCTTCTTTAATAATTATATTAGGATGTTTTTGTTTATAATGTACTTGGCCTTAGCTAGCTTGAAATCTTTTAGCCTTAGTTTTAAAGCTAAAGTTACAGTTAGGCATATTACATTTACATATAATTTCCCTAGGTCTACTATAGTTAATAGTACTTAAATTATAAGTAAATAGCTTATTTACTATAATATAAGAATTAGTAGGCTTAATAGTATAAGTAAGACTATTCTCTGATGTGTCTATATATTGATTTTTTTTTCCTTTTATTTTATTAGTTAAAGAGTTTGCTGTAACTTAAGAAGAAGCTTCGCTATCTGTTATATTAGAAGAGCTCTCGTGAAAAGAATAAGAATCGTTAGATGCTACCATTTTTTTTTAGATATATTTAATAATAAAATATAAAATATAGTTTTATAGGTTTTAATAAGTTATTTTAAAGTAATAGTTATAATATAATATAGTAAGTAGTCTTTCTTAAGGTTATATTTATATATTATATTATAGGTAATATAGTATATAGTGTTATAAGTTAAGTAAAATATAGTTAATAGTAAAGATAAAATAAAGAATTAGAAAGAGAGAAAAAGATAGTATATATAGTTATTTTATTATAATTATTTACTATATATTAAAGTATATAACTAAGAAAGTATAACTATAAGATATAACTATAAGATAAAACTATAACTATAACTATAAAGTATAACTATAAACTATAATTATAAAGTATAAGTATAAAGTATAACTATAAGCTATAAGTAAAAACTATAACTTATAAACTATTACTTATAGTCTATAAGTATAAAGTATAACTATAAACTATAATCTATAAGATATAATTATAAACTATAATTATTAAGTATAACTATAAAGTATAACTATAAAGTATAACTATAAAGTATAACTATAAACTAAAACTATAGAATATAATTATAAGATATAACTATAAACTATATAAATAAACTTATAAGTATAAATATTATTAGTATAGTATATAAATATAAAGTTTATAGCTTTTTAAAGATACTTATAATTTAAAATTATAAGTTACTTATTAGATTATTTATATTATATATTATTTATATAAGATCTTCTTAAGTATTAATATTATATACTCTATATAACTTTTAGACTTTTTTCTAGGGTACTTCTTTTTAGATTATTTACTTTTACTTAACTAATCTTTTACTTATATATAATATAGTATAGTATTATTAATATCTTTTTAATTATTATATAACTACTTACTATAACTATAAGACCTTTTCTAGGGTACTTTTTTTAGAATATTTACTTTTACTTAATTAACTTTTTACTTATATAGTATAGTATTCTTAATATCTTTTTAAGTATAATATAACTATTTACTATAACTTATAAGTATAAGACCTTTTCTAGGGTACTTTTTCTTAAGATGTTTACTTTTCTTTTACTAACCTTTTACTTATATAGTATAATATTCTTAATATCTTTTTAAGTATTATATAACTACTTACTATAACTATAAGACCTTTTCTAGAGTACTTTTCTTTTAAAAATATCTACTTTTTCTAAACTAGCTTATTGTTTATATAAAGTAATATTCTTAATATTCTTTTAATTATTATATAACTACTTACTATAACTATAAGACCTTTTTAGGGTAATTTCTTAACTTATACTACTTACTTATAACTATTTAATTAGATAATAAGTTTAAATATCTAAGTAAAATATTTAAGAAAAATATATAGTATATATATCTATATACTAACTATATACTAGGCCTATTTTCTAGAACACTTTCCTCCTTTCCGCTTAAACCAACGCATATAGGATACATAAGACCTCTTAGACTTATAAGAAGTCTTACAAAAAGAACAAGTATACTTCTTTAATACCCCCTATAATAACTAATTAATATATATATATATAAATACTATAATAATTATTACTTACTAACTGAGGTATAAAAGAAGGCTAAAAGCTTTCTTCTAGAGCTGGAAGCTGGGTAGAAGGGGTTAAAGTATCTTCTTGGGGGGTAAAAGAAGATAGAATATCTTCTAGATACTCTATAAATTCAGAAAAAAGGTCAATAGGGGTAAGAGTAGTATTATTAGAAAGCTCTTGAGGAGGAGAATCTAGTAGTACCTCTTGAGGAGAGATATAACTAGGAGGGGCTTAAGAAAGACCTTGAGGAAAGTGCTGAGCTATTATTTGAATAATAACTTGTTAAGCAGTAAGGTCTATTGCTAGTAAACTAGCTAAAGGAGTAAAAGAATCCATTATATCTAATATATAGAGAAAGGTATAATTTCTTATTCTAAGGACTATCTAAAATAAAAGGAGGATTTAAGGAGTATATATAGATATTCTTCTTCTTCTTTTTCTTCTTTTTTCCTTAGAATTCTTAGAAATAAAAGGGGATAAATATTTACCCTTAGTCTAGTTAAAAAACCTGATTTTTTCTGGTTCTAATGCAGGTCTTTATGTATTACTACCTCGTATATGTAGTAAGGTAGGAGTGCATAAGTAAGAAGAAAGTATAAAAACAATAGTAAGGTAGGAGTGCATAAGTAAGAAAAAAGTATAAAAACACTAGGATTTTATAAGCCTTTCCTATTTAAGTAAGTAACTTATTAGCCCTACTAATTACTACTTTAGGAAATATATAAGTTTTATAATAATTATAAGATTTTAAGTTTTTTATCTTTTTTTTTAAAAATAATATATATAATATAAGGTTTAAGTTAATATATATAGTAATACTAAAATAATAATTATATTTTAGTAAAGTATAGTACTTTTTTATATTAAGACTTATATTCTTTATTTACTTTAAATATCTTATAATATAATATTTTAAATATTTATATATTATAATATACTTTATATAGCTTATAACTATATAGTATAGTTATAAGCTATATAATTCTATAAGGTTATAAGTTATAAGTTATAAAAAGATTAAGTAAAAGTAGTTTATAGTAGTATAGTATATATAATAAAACTATATATATAACTATATAGTATAGTTATAAATTATATAATTTTATAAGGTTATACCTTAAAAGTTATAAAAAACTTAAGTATAATTAGTTTATAGTAGTATAAAATATATAATATAACTATATATAGTTTATATTATACTTTAGATTATATACTTTATAAAGTTGCTTTATAGAATTATTCTATAAAGTAAAACTTATAAGAATTATATATAATATTTATATATAATAATACTATATAATAATACTTAGTAAAGTATTTTTAAAATATAAATATCTTAATATCTATATTCTTAAGATTTATATCTTTTTATTTTTTTAATATCTTATTATATTATTAAGTATTACCTTATTATCTATAGATTATATTTATTAGTTATTATTCCAAATATAGTCCTTTATAAATAACCTTTTTCTTAAGCTATATTATATTTATTATTAATAAAATACTAAATATATCCTTTATAGTAAGTACTTTAATATTTAAGAAGAATATAATTAGTTTATTTCTTTTAGCTAACTTTACTTACTTAGATGGAATCCTCTTTACCTCTTAGTATATTTTATTATCAGAAATACCTAGACTTTAATAATAAAGTTAACTACTATAATACCTTAAATCTTATAGTAAATAATAATACTAGTAGTAGTGTTATAGATATAGTTAACTTAATAGAAGATTCTAGTAGTTATATTTCTTCTATCTATAATATATTATTAGAAGACTTAGAAAAAGAAGAAACTAAACAACAAGATTTACAAGACCAACAGAATATTAATACTTTAGAGATATTTAATCCTTATACTATACTATATAATATTATAATACAAGATAAAGATAGTATTATAAGTAATTCTTTAAAGCTACTATTATTTAAAGTATTTAATAATAAAATAAATAGTATTACTAATAATACTTATAAGGAATTTAAAGTAAGTAACTTATTAGTTTTTAAAATTATATATAATTAAAGATAAATTATAACTTATACTAATATATTATATAATAGAATCTTATTAGTAATACTATAGAGTATAGTATTAGTTATAATTATTATAACTGGGAAGAAAGTAGTATAAATAGTGTTTTAAATTATAATATTAAAGAAGTAAAAGAATACTATATTACTAATATTATTCTAAATACTTTTTATAGTAATAATATTAGAAATCTTAGTATTAATAACTAAGTAACTAAGAGTAAATAATAATATAACTACTTTAAAATATATATAATATATATAAAGAAGTAATAGTATTAGTATTAATAAAATATTTTTTTTAATATATAGATATATATATAAACCTACTAATATATTTTTACTTATATATTATTAGACTACTATATAAATATATATAAAAAGAATTAATCTTGTATTTTTTGTTTGTATTTTGTATAATATACAAAATATAATACATGTATTTGTATTTGTATTATATCGTGTATAGGAAAAAATACAATACAAATACATGTATTGTATCGTACTAGAAAAAAAATACAAATACATGTATTGTATTTGTATCGAATTTGTATTGTATTTTTTTAATACTCTGTTCTTAAGACTAAGACTAGGTCTAATTAAGGTAATACAGTAGTTAAAGGTATACTAGAAGCTACTAATGTCTATATTTCTACTAATCTAGTTATAAAGCTTTCTTAGAAGCTTAAAGCCTTAGTAATAATAATTAAAGGTAATATTAAAGGTTAAAATATAATTAGTTACCTACTAGTAGCTACCTAGAACTATAATATAGCTAGAACTAATAGTTAACTAAGGCTTTAGTCCTTTACACTTACTTTGCCTAACGTTAAGGACTCCTAGAGATAACACTAGAAATAGTTATTAAATCTAGTTACTATTAGGGAAGACTATTAAACTTAACTTAGAAACCTTAAAAAAAGAATATTTAGTTATAATTAGAGTAATTGGTTAGTGCTAACAAAGTATTCCCTATAGTTAATATATAATCTTTAGGTTCTATTAAGTTTAAAGTACAATATAGTATAATATACCTTGGTTTATAGTGCAGTAGTTTACCTAGTAGTTATATTTAAATATAAAATAGAGATATAGGAACTAGTAGACCCTTTTAATAGTAATAACGCGTTTATATAAACATAGAAGACATAACACTTAGTAAGTCTAAAAGTTACTATTAAAATATATAAGTAATAAGTTATATAAATAATTCCTATAAAGGGCTATTAAAAGCAAAGAGGCCGTAGTAGTTAGGCTTTTTATAAAAACCTAAGATATTTAATTAAAGTTTTATATTATTATTACTCTATTATATAGAGAAAATTATCTTAATATAGTTATTAGTATTAGTTATAATAGAATCCTAAAAGTTAATTAGTTAAAAGTGTCTTACAGAGAATAT